AAATTGTTTCACTTCCCAATCCAAATTCCTTCTTAACAGGATATCCAAGAGTAGATTGCTCTATGCATATGGTAAAATCATCAGTGAATTCTATTTATTTTATGCGAAATCGAAGGTTCTTAAAAAATTTCTTCTAATGGTATGTGGAATTTCATCTCACTGCCTTTATCAATGCTCATGGTAAATTCTATAAGTAAGTTTAAATTTCAAAAGTTATTTTAGAAAAACAATTTCACAATGCTACTTCAATACTAACATTGAAGATTTTTTAAGAATAAGATATTAAGTAAGAAACCGTCTAACGTAAAGATCAAGTAGATAGTAAATAACTTAAATTAAGAGTTTGAGTGAGGAGAAACATTAATATTTTTATGCTAAGTTAATAATTTAGAATATATTTATTTGGATGCAATATTAAAGGTCCTTCAGTTCATTTACTATTAATAATTCATAAACTTACAATTTTAAAAGTAGTAATCATTTTTAAGCTAAGTGGCGAAATCATTTTTGTAAAGACTTGTGATTAAACCTTTGACCATCATTTTTAATACAGGCAGCAGGTAACAATTACATTTTTTTGAAAAATAATTGAATAAAAGATTCATTTTAATAAATTTTTTTATATATTTTACAGAGCAAAATAATTTCTGTAAAATATATTAAATTAGAAAATATATGATTTATTATCATATTTGATTATACTGATTCAAAGTTTAATATAGAGAGTTACAATAATGAGAATCATGGAGGTGACAGCATGATTGTGACATTTACACATTAATTAGAGTTATATAATTTGAACTATGTCAACATATATACATATATATATATTTATATATATGAAAATAAAAAATTGTAAGGTACCCCTAGATGGGTGGCATATATCACTGCCTGGTGTAGGTTATGATGGTAGTTAGTGGTGATAATTTAATTTGTAATTAATTAAAGTAGCATCTAAAAAAGCTCTATCAAAAACACTTTCTGAAACATATAACTCACACTTGTAATTCAACTGATTAGCATTGATTAAAATCACTTAAACCAAGACTAGCTTGATGCATGTCTTGCTAAATGGAGAAATCTTATTGATCCATGACTTAATGTACTAAGCTTAATAAGGTAATTAATTAATTAACAAACACAAGGGAATCCTCAACACACACAAACTATAACTATGTGTGTGTGTGTGTATATATATATATATATATATATATACAAATCTTTGTGGTCAATAGAATAAAACGATATACCCTTTGGTTAAGATTCTTTTGCAGTGTTAGTGGTATATAGACTAGAACATTAATTAGTATAAAATACTTAATTACTTTTTTAATAATGAAAACGATACGGGAAGAGAGGTACTAATTAAACTACTACTACTACTACTACATACATACATATATATATATATATATATATATACATGGTTCTATAATACAAATTCGAATTTGTCATAAATTTTAGGTAGAAGGAACTAATAATCTTAATTGGTCAATTAATTGAAATTGTTGATTGGGGGGGATATTGATTGAAATTGAAAGGGAATGAAAATGATAAGAGGTTTTGATCATGGAGAGTTGCAGTAGGAAGTGGGGCCTTTGAGAAGGAGAAGAGTAGGTATCTAAAGTCCTACTAACCATTATTTGTAGGACTTGTCCTCTCCTTTATAATTCCTTCTTCCCCATCAACTCCCCGAGGATAAGGTGAATGTCACATACCTAATAATGATATATTCTTCTAAAATTTCCTAAAATTTTTATTTAATTCTACGTCATGTAAAAATTTTGTCCACTACTTCTAAACAATTTTACATCTAATTAGGTTCTTAAATGTTGTAATTAGATTACACATACTTTGATTAAAAAGATTTTATTTGTACATGAAATATTGTCTTTAACTCGGTGAATTACATTCCTTTCTAGCTCATTTGTTATTGCGGGATAGATGTTGCAATACTTGTGTATTTTACATTTCATCTAAAAAAAAAAAAAAAAGAAAAGAACATAAAATATTTTAAAATTTTATTAAAGAAAAAAAACTTACTTAAAGGTGATGATTTCTACAATTTTATTAAAGAAATACATGAGATAAACCTTTCAAAAATAAGAAAAATGAGCAAAAATAAAAATATTATCTAAATCAAATTGGTATTCTTACAACCTAATGAGCTCCAAGAAGGATATTGGCTAGAAAATTATATTAGAGCTTGACTAACACCAATTAACACAAACATAAAATTAAATCTAAAGCTTAATTGACCCCTTAATTTTGTTAATTTATCTATTAAAGAGTTTCTATTTATTTTAATTTTTAAAAGATAACATCTCTTCATGGTAGAAGGTATAACTGTAATTCAATTTTTATAGTGACTCTAATGTAAGCGTGACTTAAAAATATATATATATATATAAATAACAAAAATTTTTAGAAGATGGCATTTCTTCATAACAGAAAGCACAACTATAACTCAGTATTTATAATAATTCTACTATAAACGTGATTTAAAGATGATACAAAAATAGCAAGAGTTTTTGGAAGATGATATTTCTTTAAAACAAAACATACAACTACAACTCAATCTTTATAATGATTCTATTTCACACACCTGACTTAAAGAAGATACAAAAATAGTATAACCTTCTAATTACTATAAAGCTCAACCAAATTTAAAAATTAAATTTTAGCATTTTTTGAAAGTACTGCAAGTAAATCATTGCATCATCTTTGAATGAGCACCTTGAATTCCAATTGATTCATTTTGCTAATAGCAGAGCCATAATTATTAAATTTCAACTATCTATTTAGAAGTTGAAGCAAAGAGCAAATCCATTTGAGAGATTTTCAAGATTTTTATTTTGAATCAACTAGAAAGTGAACACATCTAGATAAAATTTTGTTTTCAATAATACCAAGACCTTCCAACTTGGGTTTACAGCAAAATTCTCACTTCATAAAACAAATAGAATTTTTTCCACTTACAATAGTCGTAGAAAAAAAATTTTACAATTTTTTCAAGTTTTTTTTCTCACCATTATAGAAATTTTGAAAAGAGATATCACATTACTATATAAATGGGAGAGAATGACTTTTAACATAAACATTTTGTATCTTATAAACATAAATCTCTTTTAAAATAAAGTTTAATTTTATTATTGAATCCCAATAATTTTTAAGATTCATATTTGCAGTAAAAAGTGGTAAAAGAACCTTTTAATTTGTAATATAGTATCAATAAGAGTCTCTTTTTTTTTTTTTTTTCAACATCCAGAAGTCACTAAGCTAAAACTATGAGACTTAGGTAATTCAATACATCTTTCGTTTTCAAGAAGCACGGAATGTGGTTGATAAAATAAAGTTTTTGAAGAGTCTCATAATTAAGAGACCTTGAACCAAGGCCAAAAAGATGAATAAAGAAGGAAATGAAGAAAGATTAATGTGCATTCACCATTATTCATCATGGTATTAAAAAAGATACCGTATGAAGGCAATTCCGAAAAAGCATGGAAAACTCGTAAGAACTTTCTGATGGGAGTAAAAAAGAGAAATATAAACTTCGACCTATGAGGATTATGACCTTGCTTAGGAGTAGAGAGAAGAACATTTTCCTATGAAGTAGGAAAGAATTTTGTTGCATATTATAGAAAAAAGACATTTGCAAACAATAATACTCTATGAAATATATTAATATTATTCACAATAGTATTAAAAAAAAAAAGCATTTCTCCTAAAGAAATGAAATTAGTATAAACTTAGTTATTCTTCACAGAAAAGCATAAGAAGAAGACTTCAACTTTAGAACACAATAAGCATTAGTGAGATGTCATAGGAAAATTAATTAATACCAATTTTGACAAACACAGGAAAATTTGTCTACCCTTAGCAAGCAAAAGAGATCAAATTATGTCTGTTGCAAGAAGAAAACTAAACACATAATAAATCAAGTTGATAAAACCATTATTGAACTAATGGTGGGAAAAAGAAATTGGGGGCGTAAAATTTCTAATAAATTGAAGAAATCAAGTAGGAAGAACTTATGATATACAAAATAAATTGAGAAAATAAAATTCTTGTAGTAGCGTAAAAGAATTAGGGCAAGAGAACCCTTAAGTTGATAGAAGAAATAAAATGGAAACAACTCCTAGCAAACCAAAAAGAATATCTAATACCCATGCAAGCAAGAGAAATGGCAAGAGAGAGAGAGAGAGAGAGAGAGAGAGAGTCTAACACTACCTTTTTTACTATAAAATTAGCTATGATTGATTAGTCCTTTATAATTTTTCTCTTCGTATAGAGAACACAAAAATTTATGAATCATAAATATAATGATATAAGGGGATCTTATATAATAATATTGTTAATTTTCTGATTTAATTTTTAAATTAATTTATATATATATATATATAATAATTAGCATATAATTTATTGGAGTTGAATTATCCATTCTTTGACTTAAAATAATTTTAAATGGTGAGCATCAAAGAGTTTAGTGAAATTAATAATAACTCAGAATGAAATAAATTATTCTTTTATCATTCATATTAAAACAAATATAAAATTTAACTACGGATGAAATGAAAAAGAAACTACTGAGGGTAAAAGTTTGTTTAGCTTATCACATGTGTTTAGATTCCATTCGGGGGGTGATGGAAGTGAAAGACACCCCTTGAGCAACCTAAAGGTTACTTAGTACTTTGACTGCAAATATACAAATATAAATATATATATATATATATATATATATATAATTCAAGATTCTGATTCTTTAAATAAAAAAACGAGAGTCATATGCGTCAGGGCCCTGTGGTCACAACAAAGGACACAAGCCTTTTCAGAATTATGTTTGAACTCAAAGAGCAGCCTACAGAAAAGCCTGAAACACTAAGACATGCTCTATATCAAATTAAATTTGCCTAATCATCTACTTTCAAACAGTTTGAACTTCGGGACTTTTTGGAAGAATGGACTTTTTTTAAAAAAGTCTTTGAAGAACAACTTTGGAATTTTGGCATTGATTCTTGATTTGTTTAAATATTTCTAAGATAATTAGTTCAGAGGCACAAAGATTAATCAAATACTAGTGGACTTGGGCTGGGATAAACCTTAAAGTGAAGGAGAAAGGCCCAAAAACAAAATGTTCAGAGCAAAACCATAAACCATTCTCATCTTATTGAATTAAAAAAAAAAATATATATATATATATATATATGGCAATGCCTATGTTGTGAAGTTCTTCAGGTGGAGATTGAGTTGTCTGCTAGTTGAAGAAACTGAAACCTTTTCTGGGTTCAAATATAGTTGGCAAGCACATGCGGGAGACTGAATCTTACTCCAGATATAAATGTGGGATGGAAGGTGATGTTGCTGTGTGTAGCAGGGACTCTGAACAAACAGACTTGGTGAATGACAGGATGAGCAGATTGATGAATAAATCATCCAGATGGATCAGCAACACGATTCTGATAGACTGACATCGATTGACTGTTTCAGATGTAAACTGCAGGAGATATAATGTAACCAAGCTCGAATTGTTCTTCCAAGGAAAGAGCACAAAAATTGAACTGTTGACATGGAAATGTCTCATGAAATGGAAGATAAGCAACCAGCATCAGGATTTTTAACTGCAATCCAAGAGAAAAAGAAGTTGGGGAAAAACCTCCTGAGATGGAACATAGTCAGTCACCTGCAACCCAAAAGTTCGTCCAGCATATGGGAAGTCAAGGAGATGTTTCATGACATTGACCATTGTTGGAAATCACCCCAAGAAGGTTCACTATAACAGGAGAAGAGAAAGAAGACAACAAGGAAATATAAGGTCATACATATGGGTCAACTTCTTCTATATTCTGTGGAAATTGAATTTAACTTGCCTTATTTCCTTCAATTCTCTTTCCTGTACTGCTGTATCTTCCCTGAGGATTGCTGGATACAGAAAGGGAAATTAATTTGGTTATTAGTGGTTAAAGGATGGGTACAAGAAAAATGAGGGAAAATAACAGAGGATATAGTAGAAGAAACTGATCAGCAAGGGAATGCTTCTAGTGCAAAGAACCTGGAAATGGAACTATATTAATTGTTGCTCCCCTTTATAAGGATGTCTCTCTTTGCAAGATGAAGAATGAAATTTTCATCCCTCCAGCTCCGCCACCACTTATCAATTCATGTTATGGTATCCCCCGTGCTACTTTTACTTCAAACTTGAAATAATTGCCACCCAATTAAACAATCTCCGAACCCGCTCTTTGCTTTTTCTTCAGAAATTAAGATCTCGCTGAAGCCAATGAGAATTGGCTAAATTTGCATGGGGCAAAAATTTTTAAGGGTGTTAGATTTAGAAGGAACCAAGATCAACAACTTACCAGATCTATGAAGGAGACCTGATACATTTAACATATCTTGGCTTGAAACAGACTGATAGAAACGAGCTTCCAGCAAGACTTGGTAATTTAAGGCTGCTACAGACTTCGGATATCAGATGATGTGGGTATTTAAAAGAAATACCAATTGGGGTCCTAAATTTTGTAACATTAAAGCATCTCAAAATGCTCAAGAACATTGATGTCTGCCAAATAAAGTTTCCAAGAGCTAGGGAATTTCCACCCTTCCTGGCATACGCCCTGGTGCAGGCATAGCAAGAAAGTTGGGTGATTGGATTCAGCTTAAAAGACTGGGTGTGATGAACGTGAGTGACAAGACTGTTACCAAGTTATTTGCTTCTATCGCAAGGATGCAGGATCTTCTATCTTTGTCTCTAGAAGCAAAGCACGGTTTTGAACAGGAAATGCTTATCCTTCTACAGTCTCGCCTCCACCACTTTTTAAAAAATTTTACCTTCGAAGGAAGTTAAGAACACTACCAAGTTGAGTTGTTAGGATGAACAAACTTCCCAACATCAGCCTAGGTTCTTCTTGCTTTTTTGAGAACCAATGTTGGTACTTTGGCTCCTACTAATTTAGAAAAGCTTTATACCTGTGGGATGCTTATGATGCCAAACATTTGGTGAAAGCACTTTGGCCAGCTGTTGGGTTTCTCAAGCTAGAAGTTCTCAGCATATCTTCTGCTGTTCTGAAGGAATGGTCAGATCTTGACGAGGAAGCACTGCCGACCTTGAAACACCTTGTGCTTCAATGTTGTCAACTGTGAATGCTCCCTGAGAACTGCAGTTTGTCACACACTGAAAGATTGGATTTGCTGCCCTTGCTAGATGGTCAGATGGAAAGACTTGAACCTTATTGAGGAGAAGAATCCGATAAGCATTATCATTGATTTTCTCTAACACTTGAAATGGTCCATCGCCTCTCGTATCTAACTTTGACTTCCTTTGTTTTGGAAACCTTTCCTTGTGCATATGTACCCAAACTCAATCGTTACAACTTGTTTTCGCCCCTTCTTAACCCTTTGAACATAAACTTGGCTCTTCTTTTTAATCTGCCCACATGCTTTCTCATGGATAACTTTAACCATTTTAATCTTCTTCTTACTATTTAAACTAGAAATTTCACTTAAAAGTAATGGCATTAAATCCAAAACAGTTAATGGATTAAAATCATAAATAATTTCAAAATATGAAAAACCTGTAGAAGAATGAATAGTACAATTATATGCAAACTCAATAAATGATAAATAATTTTTCTAAGTTTTCAAACTGTTACCAATAACAGCACGCAAAAAAGTTTCCAAAGTTCTATTAACAACTTCAGTTTGACCATCAATTTGTGGATGACAAGTAGTAGAATATAAAAGTTTAGTTCCTAACTTACTCCATAAAATTTTCCAAAAATGACTCAAAAATTTAACATCACGATCAGAAACAATAGTTTTAGGTATACCATGTATCCTTACTACTTTAAAGAACATATCAGCAATATTTGTTGCGTCATCGGTATTGTGACATGCAATGAAATGTGCTATTTTACTAAATCTATCAATTACAACAAATATGTTATCTTTACCTCTTCTAGTTTTCGGCAAACCTAACACAAAATTCATATAAATATCAGTCCAAGATTGAGTAGGAACTAGTAATGGAGTGTATAAACCATGCGGTTTGGACTTAGATTTAGTCTGTCTACATGCAACACAAGATGAACAAAGTTTCTCAACATTCTTACACATGTTTGGCCAATAAAAATGCTAAGTCAGAATGTCTAAAGTTTTATGCACACCAAAATGACCAATTAATCCCCTACTATAAGACTCATGAACAAGCAATTTACGCAATGAATATGTAGGCACACACAATTGTCTTCCATGAAATAAAAATCTCTCATGCTTATAAAACTTATCAAATACAACATGTTCACAAGTAGCATAAACATTACAAAAATCAAAATCAATAGAATACATATCTTTGAATTACTCAAATCCTAACAACTTAGAATTAAGTGTAGAAATTAAAGCGTACCTCTATATAATGCATCTGCCACCACATTATCTTTACCTTACTTGCAACGAATCACATAGGGAAAGTCTCAATAAATTCTATCCACTTTGCATTCATTTTATTCAGCTTTCCTTGTCTCTTTAAATGCTTGAGGGACTCATGATCAATATGAATCACAAATTCCTTTGAAAGTAGGTAATGCTACACACTTGCAGTGCACGAACTAAATCATATAACTTTTTATCATAGGTAGAATAATTCAATGGTGCCTCATTTAACTTTTCTCTGAAGTATACAATTGGACGTTTATCCTGCATTAAAACAACTCCAATACCTATTCCAAAAGT